ACCTAAAATGCCCAGGTAAGAGTGATGTAGTAATTTAATGTTCCTAGGATATACACAGTAGTTACTGCTTTCAGATTAATTCTACCCCTCACATTTCTAGAACCAGAAGGATATTCCCTATCTCCTCAATATTTTGGTAACATTATTCATTCAACAAACACTGAGTATCTGTAACAGTAGTGGACAATGGAAATACCAAAACAAAGAGGCCACCAACGACAGCCGCTTAAGGCATGATACAAAAACACAGCCCACTCTGAAAGAGGATGAGCACCACACCAAGACATCAGGGACTTTTCCAAAGATGGTACCAATTGAGGTGGGCCATGAGAACAGATGCAGTCAGAATTACTGCAGTGAGTAATGTCTCACACCTAAACGTAAAAACACAGAATGTCCCCTTCTGCTTTCTCAGCATGTTTCAAAAAATATCACATAGAAAACAGGAATTACATGCATGGAAATGTTTGTTTTTGGAACAAAATTATAAACTTTGATTCTGTGATAACAACAACTGAAATTTATTCCTCTTAAGGATAAAACTCAGTCTAATACCAGCAACACAAAAAGCTACATGAGCATATCAATTCGATCTAAAATTTACCTCATGACATTAGTGCCTACAACAAAGTGAAGTTTTATGAGCTGTTTATAAAACGTATTAATGGTACACACATTTCATTTTCTGAACTGCTGCTTCCTTCCATATTCCAGAAGGTGGCGATATTGCACCAGACGTGTGTTTCTCCACTGTGACTCTAGACCAAGGGAAGGACACGATTAGCAGTGAAGTCCTGGGCCTGTCCCACATTACAAGGAGATTTGGCACTATCTTGCAATGCAGTAGCTTACACCTTGCTTTAGTGATGTAATTTCTGCCCTCTCGTCTATTGCTCTAAACAAAATGACATGATTTAATCCTCCACACAGGGAAATAATAAAAGGCATGTGCTACACTCTTATGTTTCCAGCCAGATTATATTTTTAAAAGCGTATGTTCATCATGTTACTACAAATCACAAAAATCTGATGACATATTGAATTATGGATTTCCAGTGGGCCATTTACAACCTGCCCCATTCTGTGTCTTTCTGGCCATGATATCTTTCCTCACACCATTCTCTTTAAAAGCATGCTTTTATCACAATATATAAGTTTAAAAAAAAAAAAAGCTACCCACTAAGAAGCATTTATTTGATCCTATACAACTCTTATCAGGGCAACTTCCAAAATCACTTCCTCTAAATATCATTGTACTTAGCACTTTTATTTACGTGTAGGTATTAGGCCATGCACTAAAATCCTTTCTAATTTCACCACAATGAATTTCTCAATGTTCAATGAGATCCAATCTGCAGTGACACCACCAATAGCTATACCCATGCACACTGCTGTAAAAGACTTACTGATACTTCTTTTAAAAAATTAATTCACTGGAAAATGTTCATTTGTATCTAAATGACCTTCAACAGAGATTGATTCTTGAATTATGAAACATTTAAAAACCTATTTAAAAAAAAAGAGAGCGTAAGGGCTATCTATTTAGTGCTCATATGAGGAAGTGTCCCACAGCAAGAGGCAACCAGGCCAAGTGCATGAGCATGACTTTCTACTGACCCAAAAAAGCAACTGGAAAGAAAGCTGGGAGAGCACAAATGTTGTTTTTACATTTAATCTTTTTATTAGTACATGTTTGCAGTACATAATGTTTACATTCCTTGTGAGTTGTCACACGTACAGAACACATTGTCATCTTTTTTCATCTCTTGCCCCGCTTCACATCTCTTCCATCTCTTGACCCCTTTCCCATCTGACAAAGACACATCTCCCTACTTCTATTATCTATTTTTACTTTATTCTTTGTTTATAACTTGAACTTTCCATATAAAAGAAACCACGCAATATTTAAGCCCGGGTGTCTAGATTATTTCCCTTAACATTGTGGTCTCAAGGTGCATCTTTTTTTGCTACAATTGGCTCATCATTTTGCAATGTACCATGTTAAGAATCACACAAAGTTGAATTTTTGAGTAAAGAGCAAAATAGGACCTTTATGGAATGACATAAAAAGCTGGCTTTTAGAAGCAGCTGATGAAGGCTGGTTAGAAAATGACTGGAAACAATAACAGACATATTTTTGGACTACATGTGTCAAGCTCTATTTGCAGTACAAATACACAAGGGATATTTATAGACAACCAGTCCCATCGTTCACAAGGCAAGGATCCTGGCTGAAACAGTACTGGAGAAAGGAACTGTGCACAACTGTGCGAGCAGGTCAGGTGGGAAGGGTGTGGCAATCCTTCCAGGGCTCTGGGGAGAGTTCTGAGAAAAAATGACCCAGGATGAAATCCCACAGTACTTTAAAGTCAAGATTCCACAAGAGGAAATAGGAACATTAAGCACAAATCAAAACACCACTAGCCAAGAGAAAATAAGGATTATTTTAGCTTTTTCCTTTTTTTATTAACTTTTCAACAATGAGGCTTTTGGGAAAAGGACTGTGACCTCTCTTATGTCATTGTAATTATTGGGGATCTTTGTTTGCTTGTTTGGTTTGGTCTTTTTACTGATTTCGCATTATGCCTGGTGTCTCATATTGAATAAAGGCAAGTCACAATGGTATCTCAGCTCACAAACTTAATTATTTTCACAGTTCTGGTCACAAACTAAATTGGACAAGAACTAAATCAATTTTCCCCAGAAGGTTAACACTGAAGCTAAATTTGTAGTGAGCTGAACAAATGCAACAGAATAGAAAAGAGGACATCTGCCTGAAGTAAAAGTTCGTCAAGGTGTATAAACCTCAACAGGGGTTGAGACACAAAAGGGCTCAAACAGGGAAGTAAGGATGCCCACATCTGGCCACAGCTGTGAAATACTTGGATACTTATGAAAATCTGAGTTCCTCTTGGATATTTACATGTTCATCTTCCCCCATCCCAGGGCAAGGGCACCCTTAACCTCTGGCTCTACCACATGCTTTAGGGTTCTCTAATCATTATCACTGGCACCCCTTCATCTGCGGGGCATCACTTTCTCTCTTTTTCTCACCTCAAATGAAACTTTTATGTGTGCAAGTAAAATAATGTGCAATTTTTAATGAGAAAATACATTTTTCCTATGTTCCAACAAAGAAGGCCCTAGTAAGTGATGGTGACCCTTTTAGAGCTTTCCATGATAACAAACCACCTGCTGCAGCACGCGTGGGTTTGCCACCACTGCCCTAGTGTTTCTGTTTTCGGATGTCTGACACACTGGTGAAACAGCACTCATGGTTCATCTAGTCAGAAACACATGTTAACTGCCTGGATTATAATGGATCATCTAAAGATGAGGGACTGCTGGACCCCCAGTAAGCACTAAGTGCCCTCTGACTCCCAGATAGGCACTAACTTTGCACTGCTCTTTACTCCCTGAATCCCCAAGTATTTTACACAAATCTGTCTTTTGGACCACCTGCAGAGCTGGACCTTGGACTTCATAATTAAAACAAAAAGCCAGCAGCTCCAGTCAAAGAAGCCAGACTCAGTAGTTTTATTTGCAGTAAGGGTTAAAGTCAAGAAGCACAAGAGAGCACTGAAACAGTTAACACACATTTCCCAGACTGTCGGAGTAAACAGTGTCTCCTGCAATAAATCAGAGAATCCTGAGAGCTGCAGTTTAAAGACTTAATACCAAACTTACATTTAATCAGTAAAATGTTTTACATCAGGAAAATTCTCCAGTGTGACCTGGTAATAACACAACCCTAATGGTTCTTCCTTACATCTACTCCTCCTTAAGTCTGTTTACCCATCAGATCTTGCTGCAGCTGACGCTAACAGTCCTCTGAACACACTGATGCTATCAGCTCCTAAGCTGAAGTAGGCACTAGAACAACTGGTTCCCAGAGATGTCTGGAGAATCATGCCTCTGGCAGAGCTAAAAGGAGAGCTTCCCTGGAGCAGCTTTAAGACCCTTTGCCTCTGCCTAGAGATCGACAGTGACTAATTGTGTGAGACACAAAATATGAAAATGAACCTATTGAATTTAAGAATATGGATGCGCTTTAGTTGTTACCCCACCTCCTGGGTCCAGAATGCTATCTACTAGGTAAATGCACAAAGAGTGTCCACAATAATGCTTAGTATGCCTTGACAGTAGCTATGGACTAATATAATTGCAAACATATAAAAGTTTACTTAAAAGCAAACTTCAGGCTAAACCTGGTAGCTCATAACTTGTCAATGAACAATCTGAGTGAACACACTTGAAAAGTAGAAGGCTTAAAAAGGGTTTTTATCTCTGGGTTCTACATTCAAAGATTCACCAACCACTGATCAAAACATTCAAAAAAGAAATCACATCTCTACGGAACATGTACAGATATTTTGTCATCTTCTCCAAGTAATAAACAACACTTACACAGCATTTACATTGTATGAGGTACTGTAAATACTCTAGAGATGTTTTCAAATAAAAATGAGGATTTGTGCAAGTTATATGCAAATCTATAGCCCTACACACAAAGGACTTCAGCATCTGTGAATTTTGATACCTGAGGGGGTTTTCCTGGAATCATCTATCTATGGTATGTAGGAGCTGTGATTTATTCAGTGAGAAAGATAGAGAACATGAAATTATATTACAGAGTTTAAAATAAACCAAAACCAGGAGGACTTTCAGGATGGTAACATACACAGCACAAACTTAGCCGAGTATCACTACGCGAAGAGATTATCTGAAGTCTGACACATGATCGTTTTGTCAGTACTGTTCAAACTTGAAAATATTAATGTGGAAAACACCAAACTCACAACAGCTCTTTGCTAGCAGATGTGGTTACTAATGTTAAAATTCTTCCTTACTCAAATGTTAACTCTACATCTCCAGGTAGGCCCAGGCCCCACCCACCTCTGGGCTGCTGCAGTGCAGCCTCAGACTATCCGCTCTCAGAGGGTGTTTCAGAGAAAACCATCTCTTGCCTCCATATCCTTCATGTTGAATTTGACGATAGCAAAGTGTAGAAAAGAGAATCACTGGCTGTTCATTCACTGGGTAAAGTGTGGATATAGGCAAAAATAGTAGAAAATTAAAAATAAACAAAACAAAAAACAAGCCAGGCTATTTTTGTAATTACTGAAGGAAAAAAACTAGTGCAGGGGCCAGCCCAACACCCACACAGATCAAATTATCTCTGTCTTCCTCCTTTCTATATCCCGGCCTTCAACAAGTTCTAACTGTTGAATGCAGCAGCGTCTCAGCCAACCCACTATCTTGTGGTTTCTGCTGAGTTCCTGATTTTCATCTGTTCCTAAAGAGAAGCAAGAAGTCTGCGATCAAGTGCTCCTACACAGCCTACCTTGAGACATATGCTGAAGTGAGTGCTGTCTGACTTGCACAGAAAGAAGGTAAAGAGAAGGAGGTAAGGAGACAGCTGGTCTGGGAAATAATTTGAGCGTGTATATATGAATGGGGGAGAGGAGTTCTGAGCTGGGAAGTAACAATGCTGGGTAACACTAATGATTACAATTCACATTTGTTTCAGTCAGTTATTTTTTGTTTGTGAACTATGATTGGCTGGTGTGTTAATAGATTTGCCTACACTCATTTTGAGATTCAAATCTGAAATACTGTCATTTTATTTGCGAGTCCCAACTGCAGCTGTAAAAAATATCTCTAATGAATAGATGTCAAAGCAAATGTTTAAAAGTTATTCATTCAAGAGAAACATGTCAAAAGTTTGTAAATGGATACCCAAACAACTTCTCAATACTACAAAATTAGTTATTACCAATATTATTTCTAAATCAGTGTGAATGATTTTGTAACTGCATGTGTTACGGATATACATTTGTGTCTTTTATACACACATTTATATGGGTACAAGCGTTTCTCTTTGTTATTAATGAAAAGGCTGATCCTACCAGCACCTTGTAACATGCTTACTTGCCTTAAAAAGGATTATAAGCCACAAAAGTATCACCCCTGTGTATAGCAAAAACCGAAGTTGATATGCTAATTAGTCTATCAGGTAAATTACTTAAAATACTAAAATTGTGAGGGAATTTTAGCACAGACTATAATGGGAGCATACTCAACTGATCCAATGCAATCCATATAGTGTATGTATATATTAAATAAGTAAAACTAACTTTATGGAGAAAGTGAATCAAAGGTCACACTGGAAAAAAAATCATAGTTTATACATTCATCTTTTTAAAACATATAAACTTGAAAATCAAGTAATAAAAATCCTAGTAAAGTTTAAAAATAGAAAATTCAGTATAAATATCAAAAAAATACATTTTAGGATTTGTCAACATACAAAATAAAACTTATAAAAACTTACAAATACATGTATGCATTAATATAGTCTGAGCACACACAATTAGACACTGGTATATACACGTGTACTATGATGTCACAGCTGCTGCACCTCAGTGAAGAGGAAATGGAAAGTACCAAGGTACTGAGACTGTGAAGACCCAGAAAAGGGAAGCGAACAAAATGTGGGGACAGTAAACTGCAGACTGAATCAGGACTGGCTGAACATTATCAGGGGCTTTTCACCCCCGAGCAAACAGGCGCTGAGGGTGCGACTGTCCTGAACAAGGCTGACCACAGCAGAGGCTGAACCCCCTGGCACCCAACGACACTTGTTCTCCTTTTACTACACCCACAAGACCTCTGGCAGCCCAGCCCCACCCTCACTACACATGCTCCCTGTCCTCTGTCCCCTGCCATCAGTCACCAATCACTGCATCTTTAGATCCCTCCAATCTTCCGCAGCTACTTCCACTCCAAATAACACACTTTTAGGATAGTACTTACAATTTCTAGATTATAAAAATATACTATGCACACACACTTTGGGCAAAACTCAGAGTAAAAAATAACACTGATGACATTTTAAAACAATACAAAGAAGGGGGGATTCAGGAGCAGAGGGGAAGCCTCTTAAAGGACGGACAACTTTTAAGATTGCAGGGAACACATTTAACAAAGGTAACAGTTAAACTAGGCAATGAAAAGTAACCATCCCTCTGAGAGGCAGTCTCCCAAACCCCCAAAGGCTTGTGCCTACTTCCTAATCCATAAAATAGTGCTGTAAGAGTTAAATCATGAGATATTAGAGAAGTCATTAACAAAATATCAGAAGCATTCAATAAATGAAGAATGGCTTTTCATCAGACTAACTTCAATGCAAATGTACATCTGCATTTACATAGGAAATGCCTAGAAGACATAATTCAGAGATTTCAATACCTATGCAGATCAAAAGACTTACATAATTATTTAGCTACAATTATATCTTTCAACTTTTAGCCCTGGTGAGAATCACCTGAGGGTTTATTAGAAATCATATCCCTGAGCTCTACCCCTCAGATTTTTGATTCAGTCAATCTTAAAAATCTGCCCTTCTGCTGGGCATGATGATGCACGGCTATAATCCTAGCAATGAGGAGGCTGAGGCAGGAAAACTGTCCTAAGTTCAAGGGCCAGCCTGAGCTACAAAGCCAGCTCAAGTCAACCTCAAACTACATAGCAAGATCCTTTTCCAAAAAACCAAAGGAAAAAGAATGCTTTTGTTTGCACTTCTAACCAATTTCCTGATGATGTTATTGTTAGTCATCTGAAGTCCACACTTTGAGAACCACATTATCTCCAGGTGACTCTCACACTCAAATTTGTCTTACTAATAAAACTGTCCCCAACTTTCTTGTGCAATCTAATTAGCAAAGTAATTTTTAAAAAGCAAAAATGCCATTATGATTTCTCATTACATTAATTTTAATTAATTATGCTTTACATTAGTTTTTACGAGAAAAGAGGGAGAAAGGGAAGGGAGGAGATCTGTACACTTCCTAAAGACCTAAGATGCTTAAGAAATAAAATGTGAAACAAATGTGGAAATACTGCCCCTCAGCCCCTTAAAAATGGTCACTTAACCAAATGTTTCATGAGTAAACTTAGATCTTGAGGATTTACCACCCCAAAAGCTCTACTCTGAGAGCCAAAGTCAGGATTACTACAATTTCCTACAGTGTTTTCTTGAAAGTTCAGTCACAAGTGAGCTGCCTGAGCCTCTCAGTATAAGCAGTCACTAGATTACCAAGAACAGAACAGTCCAGGGTCATGGTTGATGACAGTATAAAAATGTTCTGCCATTTTCTTCACAGGCATCTTTACTTTGAGAAGACAAGCTAGTGGAGGAAAACAGACAAGAAGAGTTTACTTCAGCTAGAAACTGTGTCGCTAGTCAAGAGTGTCAAGTGTGTTCAGGTAGGCTTACTTTACTAGTGAACTTGGTAAATACGCAAATTCTTGAACCAAGACCTAATCAATCAGCACTCTGCAAGTACAGCTCATCAGTATGTGTTTAACAAGCCATTCTGGTGATTTTGCTGTATACTTGACTTTGAGCTCCACTGAGGAATAACTCTACATTTCAGCCAGCTCCAGTTTGTATCTAGTGTCAGGGCCAATCTGTACATAGTATCCCATTTTTCTTTCACAAACTTCCGGTCTGCACTAGACACTACAAAGCGAGTTCATTGGTTAGGTATGATCTGTCCCCTAAGATTTCAAATAAGCTTCAAATCTGCTGCCACATTCTGGTGCTACATCTATAAACCTGAGTGAGTGCAAAAGGATCCACAGCCTGGTAACAATCTGGGCAGCACAGATACAGAAACCAACTTGTTACAACCAACCTATGTAGAATGAATCCAGTTTCAATTTCCAGCTTTCTGTATAGCATGAGGGATCAAGTTTCCTTCATCATCTCTTTAAAACTATCCTTACTAAATCTCTGGCTCCCCTTGTAGAGAGTTTTCTGTTCCCAGTTAACATGTTAGAGAAGAATAAATGTAGTAAAAATGTGTTCTTGTTATTTTAGAGTAATCAATAGGCCATATTAATTCACAGGAAAATCAAGTTTACCATGAAGCTTGCTTCTCAATTCACCCGATCTAACACCCAAATGAAATATTGTTTGTGTGATTCTGGATCTGACAGATTTTAAATTCCTTTGAAATTTTTGCCTTTATTCAGCCTAAATTATATTTCTGGGCTTTTATTCTTCACTAACATTTCCCATCTGCTGTTTCTGAAAAGCATCAAAGGATCATGTTTTTGATCCTTCATCTTTCAGATAAGAAAACTGCCAGTGAAGGCTGATGGTTTTATGCTCAATTATAGAACATCTGTTGTTGAAGTTCAGATATCAAAGAAAACAGATAAATATCAGTACATGGCTTCTGAGCATGGCCCAAAGAGGACTCATATATCTGGGATTAGCTGCCTGGAAGAAGGATCTGGCCCCCAATTTTCCAGGATCACAGCACACTTATTTTTATTATCATACATAGCCACTGCACTCTAGGAATGATTTATACGAATTGGACTTGAAATGTTTCCAGTTTTTCTTTTATAGTAGGAAAGACACCTAGTAGGAAAGGATTCACCTATTTCTAAAGGGATCTTCCCAGGGAGTCCAGCCCTAAGGTCAAACCTAACCAAGAGAGCTCAGAAGAGGGAAGGAACGTATCCATCCTACTTAAAAAACAAAAAAGATGGATAGAATCCCCTTTTCACTCTAGAGCTATTTTAGTCCTTAATTCATTCAACAAACACTGATTTTTTTATTATGTGGCAGCCATGATTCCAGATTCTGAGGACACCTTACATGAAACAAGAACCCTGACCTTTTGGAACTTATATTGCAATAGGAAAATAAACACCATTTCTCTTTCTCCCTTTGGAATTGATAATTATTGATCAATAGCTATGTGATCACTCTTTTGGCATTTTGTAACTTAACTAATTCAAACATTATTAGAAGCCAACCAACATTCACTGACTTTTCCCAAATGCCTAAGCCAACCCTGCTAAAAGCTGATAACCCTGTGTGTAAGGATGACAAAAACAAAATATAGACAATTAACACTTAGTTCAGTTAAATAACCTAGGAACTGAGCCTCCACCCTACAAGTTCCCATACTCCCATACCCTGAAACTGCTGATCTATGTTTTGTATCATTTCACAGCCTCTTTCCCCACTATAAATACACCTTCAAACAGTACCTTTATAGCTCTATAGACATGAAAAAGGAGGTGGAAGTATTAAGATTAAAAAAAAAAAAAAACTAACACCAGCTGTGTTAGCACTAAACCTGCGAGCAGCTTTCACTCAGCAGCTGCCCTCATAACAGGTGCCACGGAACAAGCTGATTACTAAAACCTTGGGCTAGCTAAGCAAAGCACAGATTAATTAACCAAAACACAGGTTAGGTAGGAATCACACTTAGAAAAGAATAAATATTCCCACAAATACATTATTTTACCTTAAAATACAAGTGCACTTACTGCCTAACCTGGAGAAACACTGGGGCAAAGCTTTTTTTCCGAGATGATTCAAATGGTTAGAGCTGTGTACTGATTTTTCTTCATAAGCCACAAATCTAGCCACAGTGTCAGCAAAGTCGTTTCTCAGTTTTCAAGTCACGTGAGAATCTTAAAATACTTAAGACTACATGAATAAAAAACTCAGTCCTAGATCTAGACTTCTAAAGTCCCTCAGGAAAAGAATATAAATGTCCTTAATCCAGTAACAGTGAAGTTTCTCAATGAATGCCTTATGGATACATGGAAATAAGAAAAGTAAAAATATAAATTAAACATGCTGATAAGAATCTTCTAGAGCCTGAAGATTGTATCTAAAGTCACCCGTACCCACTTAGGAAAAGGGACACACTCTCCTCTCTCTAAAAGAAGCAACCGGTCCTTGTATACACAAAACCAAGGGACAGAACATAGTAATAAAAACAGTCTTGGCATTTGAAATTCTCTGAGTTCAAATCTCGACTACTACTTTGAAAAAAACTTTGGAACGTAACTTAATGACGAAGCCTCATTTTCCTCTCCATGGAGATTAAGATAATATGTATAAACATCCTAGAACAGTGACTAGCAGGACATAAGAACGCAATCAGTGTTTACAGTCATCGGCACCATTAGTATCTTTCTCAGCAACAGTGCAGTGTTCAATGACACAAGAGCAATGAAAATCAAAGAAATAAAAACTCAGTTCCAGCTTGTCTCTTAACATTTGACTGCTCAGTTTACTCATCTGTAAAAACAGAATAAAAACTTCTGCTTAAAGAATCACTGGGAGAATTATAAGATGCCTACTATAAAAGCCACAGTCAAAAAATTATGGCCATGGCTGGCTATAATGATGCATCCCTTTAATCCAGGCACTCTGGAAGGCTGAAGCAGCTGAATCACAGGTTCAAGCCTAGTCTGCGTAAATTAGGAAGGTTCTATCTACCAATAAAAGAGAACAGGAGGACTAGAACATTGCTCAGTGTGAAGTTCTGGGTTCAACCCAACACTGAGGGAGAAAAAAGGCTATTAATACTCCTACACACACACACACACATACACACAATTTTTTATAGCATTGTACTTAAGACAGCAAATCCACACTCCCAATAGATGTCCCCTCATAAAAAGCCTTCATAAAAAGAATCTTACTCAACTAACATTTGCTTTGTAGAAACATCTTCCTTGGGACAGTGGAGGACATAAGACCTTCTCCCAAGAAACACTTCCTGAGAAAATATACACTTTAAACATAGTATATAATGTGGGAAAAATTAAATGCTGTGTTATAACATTAAAATAGGAACTCAGGAAAAAAAATAAAAATTAAAAAGTAGGAGCTAAGAAAAAGGCAAGAGCACTGTGTACCAAGTCTGAAAAGAGGAAGACAATACACGTATATGCCAGACAATAAAATCATATGCAAATTATACAAAAATACAATGAATGTTAAATTTTAAACTCATTATAGTACCTGACATGTTGTCATTAATCCCCTACAAAACACTGCTCCTTTCCTCATTTATCTTCTCATTCTTGCCACTTTCCAAAGCATAGAAAGTCCTGAAAGTCCTTAGGCGTGCCTTTCATGGTTGTCTCTGTGTCTTCAATCAATTCAAAATTTTACTTTCAAAGTATTTATGGTTTTGGGGTAGATTCCGAAGACCCATGTTGCAATAATAAATAATAAGTAAATAAACACAAAAATATTTTTTCAAGTCTGCCTTTCCTTTGGATGGCACTTGGCAACTGCACTCACTGTTTTTTGTTTGTTTCTTTCTTTAATTCATACACTGTGATAAGACACCCATGAAAGAGGACTTCCAGAACTGCTTCAGAAAGAGACAAGAATGATGGGAGAAGCATGTTTGACGCAAAGGGGTGTATTTTGATGGGAATTTTTCACAATGTGTCTTTTGTGATAATGTTTTATTTATGGAGTCAATGTATATCTTGATCACATCATAGGATACAACAAGTAGAAAACTCCTTTAATTTATATATTTCCTAACCCCATGTCTTATTTTTATCTGAATGACCTTACTTGTAATATTTTCTCTCCAATCTCTAACAACACTTAACTCTCTGCACCTTCAAAACACAACATAAACCTTTTTCTGAGATTTTTGTGGCACACACCCACTATATTCTTGTCATCTTTTAACTCTTACAATATTTACTCAAAATCATAATCTCCTCCGCGTCTCCTCAATATCCTTGCTGCTGCAAGAGCAAGTATTACATCTGTGATTTTGTTTCCACTTAATTTACATTAGGGTATAATGTAAATACAATTAAATAGAGAACAGTTTAAATACGCAATGCAATGAGTCTGACACCATGTAATTATTACCAAATTAAGACAAAAATTCCATCACAAAGACTCCCCAGTGCTCCTTTCTAGTCACATCATCCATATTCCTAATTTCTATCACTATAGTTTAGTTTTACCAGTAATCAAGCAGCATTTAATTGGACTCACACATATTCCTTTGTGTCTGACTTCATTCATTCAACATAGTATGTTCAGATCCATCCACATTCCTGGTATTAATCAACCTTGCTGTGCCCTGCATAGCATTTTATTCTATGTATCACAATTTGGTTGCTCATTTTCAACCACTAATAAGCACTTGGGTCATTCCCAATTTTGCACTATTACGAATACGTTTCTTATGAATAGTCTAGCCAATGTCTTTTATAGGTACATACCTTCATTTTTCCGGGGTGAACATCTAGGAGCAAAATTACTAGGTCAAAGGTAGCTGTATGTTTAACTTGATGAGAAGCTACCAAACTTCCCAAAGTAGACTTACTGTTTTATCCTTCAATCAAAAACATAGTTAAGGTATCAATCATTCTACTTCATTTACATATTAGAGCAAATTTATCCTGAA